ATATATATATATATAGACACACACACACACAGATGTATTTCAAAGTGTTTTTAGAATGTTGTATCCATCTTTAATTTTTGAATTTTGGTATGTTATTCTTTTCATTTCTCAGTAACATCAATAAAAAATCCTCATCAAGCCATGATGCAATAAATAATGTATAAACAGTGACAGGCCTGGACTTTTAGAAAATCACTTACAAGGGTAGATCTGCAGCAAATCTCATCTGTGTAACTCAGGCTGGTGTTCATATATGATTCATGTAGTCATGAAAGAATTTCACTTAAGTGCTGGATGGTATAAGAATGTGATAACACTCATACACATGTAGATGTATAAGTAGTTATGTATAGGTGCATGACTAATGTCAAATATGTAATTAAAGTCATCCAGTTTTGTATCCTTGACTATTCTCTCTGTCTTAACAGTAACTATATCTACCACCATAGTCTCCTCCTCTTCGACCTTGATCAAACTTTGTCATGTGACAACTCTAGCATGGTATAAGCAAACAAGTTTTATATTTCTGGCAAGTATGATTGTTGGTACAACTACCCTATGTTTACACAACTAAGCTGTTACAGTACAACTTACCATTGCCTTCTGATTCCTTTCTATGTTTTTCTTCAAATACTTTTTCATCTCGTGGTTTTGCATCACCAAAAATCTTTGACCTGGAAGCAGTATCTGCTAAAGCATTGACTGGTTCTTTTGTTTTTCGAGGCAAGAGTTTTAGACGTGGCCTTTGTGCTGCTTCTTCTATTGTTCATTATTACAAAAAATAAGAAAGCCCAAATCAAAATCTTAGACACTGACAATGCCAATGAAACTTACAAACAACTAAGAATTTATTTAGGATAAACAGGAAAGAGCTCAAAAATGCTGGATATAAAAATATATATTAGAATAACTTGAAACCTCATGATATAAAACAACCACAGCTGGAAAAACATTCCATATAAACTTGAAAAGCAATAAATGGAAAATAAACTTACACACTATAGTTAAAGACAAACCTGATGTTGTTTTCCCATTAACTTAGAACGCATGTTAATGTAAAGTTCATTTACAATACACACATATTCAAGCTGATGATGATGATACATAAAATGTTAATTATTACCATTTAAAAATGAGAAAACAGATGATATTTTATGAAATACTTCAAACAAGTAGAAAAAAAAATTAATCAAAAAATTACAAAATACTGGATGATGATGTTTTAAAAATACATTCAATTACTTTAACCAATAAAAGAGAAAGCAGACTTAATTCAAAATGAACAACAAATTACAAATTTGAAAAGATTTTGAATGAAGCTTAGCACAGAACACAAAAAGACAGTCCCTCAGTGTTCTTTTTAATAAACTCACAAGACAATAAGTTTTTCAGTTTCTTAGATATCAAAGTTTTTATGACATACCTGCAGAAGGTTCTCTGAACTCTTCAGATGGAGACTTAAAGTCTCGGGGACGAGAGGCAGGAGGGCCGCTCCTGCCGATTCCTCGCCTCATTCCTCTATCAAAATCTCTATCCCTTTCACGGTCTGGAAAACCTCTGAATCCTCGACCACCCCCTCGGTCTCCACGGTCATTGAATCTACCGCCACGTTCTCCTCCTCCTCCTCCTCTTCCACCTCGATCATATCCTGAAGAGATTATGATGAACTTAATATCCAGATTCAATAGCACATGTTCAATATTTGTAAGTGGCTTTTTTGTATCAGCCTTTAAAATATTTGTTTTGAAACAAATATTTCTTGATTCTTCTGTGAAACTACATTCTTCAAGTTGGGCTGACAAGTATTTGGTAGTTCTTTTTTATAACAAAAGCATTTCATTTAACCCTTTCTAGAAAGTGAATGTTGCTGATATTCCTTGATTTTTTCTTCTCACAATAAAAATACTTAACAAGACTGCACAAAACTTACTAAAGGCTATCTAGTTATGGCTTTAAAAAAATCCACATAATTTGATTTAGTTTCTCTTTCATTTTCGATGTCGTAATGTTTCCGAAATTCCGTTGTGAAATACTTTTAAAAAATATAACTTCCTTTTATCTTAGAATTTAAATTTTTTTATTGTTGATGAGCAAGTTACATTAAATATATTCAGTCATTTTGAACTTGATATATTTTATTTTCATTAACACATTTCTTTTGAGACTTTTATCGTGCTGACTGCAGTAGTGTATAAAATAGTGTCGTATCAGACAACAACACTTTTGCTAATGAAATTCTTGGCTGAAATAAATTTATATCTAACAAGTATACTTTGTTTTCAATAAATGTTATTTTTATTACACCTCTAAACTTAATAGAGCTTATCAGATGCCTTTTCACAAGTAAAAATTGCCATATCTTACAAACAAATATCCTTTAAAATTAAAAAAATTTAAGAACAAAAAGAAAGACAAAAAAAAATCCCAGACCTGTGGTTTCTGCTGGTAAATTTTCTAAGCTTCCCATTAAATTTCATTGTTATTTTCTGTAAAATCTAATCACTTTCTCAAGAAACCATAAATTACTTCTCACACCAGTTTATTCACCTTACATTGATATAAGTAGTTTATAACCTGCTCAATCCCATCATATTTAAACTTTGTTCCACCTCTTTTATGACCTCACAGCAGGCAATGTAAACACAAACCTGTAATAATAAACGTTGATGCAAAGAAAAAAACCAAAAGAGAAACAACTGTATTCTCATGAGATGATAGTTTCCTAGCAAATAATAACCCGTGCTTTGGTATGGGTAATGAAATTCTTATTAATAATAAAAAAAAAGTGATAATTGCATTATTTACAGACTCCTTAATAGTTATTTACCCTATGCAACCTTTAAATAATATACGGGGGGGGGGGGGGCAGCATGTATGTACCAGTGGTGCCAGGTATGTTCTCAAGTGTGATCCCAGTCAGTAACAAATTAATTGAAACTTGTATTAAATCATGTATTTTTAGTTATAAAAAATTTTTAAAAAAAGCTGTTTGTGCAGTCCAATGTTATACACGTAGTTATATTTTAAATTAAAACAATTATCAGCATTTAAACCACATACAAGGTAGATCTTGCGATCATAAAATATTCATTATTGCATCATTTCATAGAGAGAAAAAAAGTTTTTCTGGTAACAGAACTAACCTGGACCACTACCTCCTCTACCTCTGTTTGTAAAACCACCACTTCTATCATTGCGTCGACCTTCTGCAACATCAACTCTGATGAGGTTACCTACAAAATCCTTCAACCAGAAAAAAAAAGTTTGGTAAATTGAATAATTTAAAACCAGTTTTCATAGCACCTGAAACAGCTAAATGCTCAAAATCAACAGGTTTTCTGCAATAATTAATTCTAAAATTGTGACTAGTTATCTTTAACAGTAGTAAAAAAGTAAAATGTTTGTACATAATAACAATTGTTTTTACCATAATAATTTCTGACGTCCAGTGGTTCAAAAAGCAAAAGTAACACTATAGCAGTGCTGACCTTTATTATAAAAATCTATTTCTTCAATAGATTTGGAATGCAAAGATGAAGAGATACAAACACATATAAACGAACACAACTAAATTATTTATTGTAAAATCCTTTGAATATTTGAACAACTTAATTAGATGAGTGACATCAAAAGCTAAATACATTGAAAAAACAACATTTATTACTATAAAAGACAACAGACATCACTAAAAGTCATTAATTGCTCATCCATTTTTTCTTTACTTTCTGAACCTAATAAGCTACAATCTTTATAACTATGTGTGAGTATTTTTTGAATCATAATTAAACTTTCAAAATTTTTCTCTATTGCCCGAGTTTGTGAATACAGGAATAGCCTAAACTTCCTAAGCTGACAGCCAAACCTCAAATACTTTTGGGATTGTAACCAAAAACTATGTTAACAACAATGATACTTTGCTGCTTATTCAATTCAGTTTAATTACTGTAGAATTTACTTTTCTGAAGTACTAGTTTATAACATTATACATTTCTAATCAGCAGATTGATTTGAAACTTGATAATGATTATACCTTGGTTCAATACACCCAGACATGTTTTTCTTTTTTTCGATTTAGGATTTTTTAAGGATGTTTTGGGGTCAATGGTAAAACAACCCAAAAATTATATTTTTGGCTCCTGTGAGTCATATTTATGGCAATAATGTGCCCAGTACCTTGACATACAAAAATGTTGAATTTGCCCATTCTGAGTTGTTGTTTGTTTTGTTTGATTTTTTGTTGTTGTTTTTTGGGGTGGGGGGTTGTCAGAGCTCATAAAAAAGCATAATTTTGGGGTTTTGATCAATTACTTGGCTGTATTTTGACCACTTTACATACAAAAATGTGGGTCATGACCATTTTTGATCATTTTAGGGGGGTCAGAAGGTTAAATAACCCCATAATTTTAGGGGTTTGGGTCAATTACTAAGCCTTGTTTTGACCAATTTACATAGAATTTGGTACAAAGATACATTTCTACAGGCAACACACACACATTCATAAACAAAAATTTTGGACTTGTTCTGTGCTTTTCATGATTTTTCCTATGTCAAAACTGGCCATGTTGGGATTGCATGGTGGAGACATATTGTATTTGCTTGCAAATATTGGCCTCTTTAATTTTTAATAATTTTCATTCTGACCTACATAGTTCACTTCCTTTTAATTAAAATAATATCTTAGTACAACAAATGCATCAAATAAATAGAAATATTCTAAACACAGTTAAATTATTTCAACCATGAAGAGCTCTCTTTGAGAGTAGATATTAGTTATAATCACAGTAATACTAGCTCATCAGATATTATAGGAGCCTTTATCTATCTAGTATCAAGCAGAAAAAAAGTGTTTTTAACTACCATGGCAAAACTTGTCTGTTGAATTCACTAAAATTGGTAAAAACTGTTATCAGTAGTTTCTTACACACATAACAAAAAATTTATTTCCAGTTGCATTTGTTTTGTTATAAATGGTTATTGCTATTAGGGTACATGAGTCAGATATGAAATGTGTTAACAAATGGAAGCTCTAAGTCAGAGAATAGCAATTACACTCTTACCAACTAGATTAGATACATTAATTTCTCAGAAAGTTTACCACAATAGATTTATTTCAAAATTTGAAATTTTTACTGAATATTTAACAGAGCCACACCAAAAAATATTGCTAGTATGAAATAATATGAACATTAAATACCTACTTACTAACGATAACTTTTTTTTATTGAACTTTGCTTTAGATAAAATTTCAAGGCATAAACACATTTATAATGGTAGTTTAATTCCTTTTTTCTAAAGTAGTAGTTTTCAAATTTTTTTTGGCTTAGGATTCTTTATTATACATCAATGACCAGTTACAACTCAGTAATTAGTCTTAGTGTATAAAAAAAACATCTGGCTTACTAAAGAGTTTTTCAAAGTCTATTTGTGACCCTTTCATACATTCCGAGGACTAGATTTTGGGTCATAGCCCATGGATTAAATAACACTGTACCAGAGCAATCTGTGGTTTTTGTATTGCACATTCTAGTTTTTCTGAACCATATTAACAAAAATAAATGGTTTAAACCACTAACAGTCACCATCATAAAACCACTGATATTCATCTTTATCTGTTATAGTGTCACTGTCTTCACTGACTTAATCTATCCTCTTTCTAATTTTTGTTGGTTCCAGTCTTGCTACTTCTCACAGTTGCAACTGATAAATTTCACATTTCACTCTCAACCAATGCTGTTGCCTTTTCTTTGTATCTACATCCTCCAAGTCCATATCTTATAGAGCACAGAAACAAGTTTAGCTGCTATGGTCCATAGTGAGCCACTTGTGATCATTTTACATTACTTAATGCTTTTCAGTTGTGCTCACAAGCAGTCGTGGTATATACAAAGCTTAACAACCATATTTACAACTCCAAATAACTGATAACCTCACAAAGTACTTTCAACTATTTTAAAAGTGTAGTGATACTAGTTAACTTTCAAACAATTTCCCTGGTCCATAATCTGAGTCCAACCCTGTATACAACTGAAACAACATGTTTGAGATATGCTCAGTGACCTTCATGATTATTTCCATGACTTCAGTCTTCTGGCCTCCCTCCAAGTCTTGACTTCTGTATAATAGATTCAACACAGACAACATGATGAAAATAAAAGCAAAATTCCAGCTTGCTAAAAAATGTCACCACCACAGCAACATTATTCAGCTACTGAGAAAGACAAATGCCACAAAGTGTTTTCATGGTGCTGCTTTGTCTTCTTAAAGATAAGGATCATTTAAGAGAAAAGTGATTTGTCATCTTGAAACTTTATAATAGCAAGACTGATTGCAATTGACCCAGCAGTACACTCACTCAACTGCAGAAAACTTAATCTGTTACATTTCTGCATGGGTGGGCAGAGATGAAGATGGTGACTTGAGAATTTGATGTGCCACTTGCAAATACTTCTTGGTTTTAACTGCATTTTCAAGGTACTTTGTAAGGGATCCTCCATGACTGTCCAAGGGATAGAGAAGGACAATTTCTTTTTTCCCCTTTCTCAACTTAAATAAGTTTGAATACATATTGTAGAATGCATTTCTTCCAGTAGAACTATACAATCTCCTAGATTTCTTCTATAAGTTTGATCACAGTTCTGTTTGTTTGTTGTTTTTTTAATTTCGCACAAAGCTACACGAGGACTATCTGCACTAGCTGTCCCTAATTTAGCAGTGTAAGACTAGAGGGAAGGCAGCTAGTCATCACCACCCACCGCCAACTCTTGGGCTGCTCTTTTACCAATGAATAGTGGGATTAACCATCACATTATAATGCCCCCACGGCTGAAAGGGCGAGTATGTTTGGTTTGATGGGTATTCGAACCCACGACCCTCAAATTGCGAGTCGAGCACCCTAACCACCTGGCCATCACAGTTCTGAGTTGATAAAATGTCCTCAGAAAGCCAAAAGCAATAAGGTGAAGATATTTCTGTTTTAATCCTACATGTACATTGTTGATGCACATTGCACCAAACTGTTTCTGTAAAGCTATACTTAGCAATGTTTACTATAGTTCTGAATTTACTCTATGAAATTAGGCAAGGTTTTAGTAAATGTGGAAAGTCTATTGTACACAAAAAAAATCAGATTTTTCTTAAAAGTATTTTTACTAAAAATTTTCTGTGAATTTATGAAGACAGTTTGATTCAGACTCTGATAACTCTGTGTGCAAGACAATTTTAATGTTAAGAGTAAAAATACTTTTTCACCTTACAATTTTCATATTTCATTTACAAAACTTCTAGAACCTCCTAAATCATTTCAGTAAAACTTTATACTTATCTCTTATTTTCTCTAATCTAACACTAGCTGTAACAAATGTGGAAAAATTTGAAATAAAATAAGTACGTTTATTTCTAGAATGTAGCAGATTGTAACAGACAATTATAATTATCCTATAAACTTTAGGCCTCTTAACATTTTCAAAAAGGTTTTTATTTAATGTTGTTTTGATGTTCTTTGAACTATGTCTAACTACTGAACAATAAATCACCCAGCAAGCACACAGTTCAAGTTACAGTAAACAAAGTATAAAGTTGTGTAATGCACAAGGAACTCTCATGCATAACCTCGCTGATAATTTTTTTTTTCACTTTTCTTATCTAACCTAACAAGTTTCTAATTTTTACATTTTAGTTACTTTTATAACATTAAATGAAAATTATACATAAAAGAAATTTAATATTTTTGTCTGGCTTCTTGCTTTGTTTATTGTGACATACATCAAAACAAGGGTATGACAAACATAATTATCAGTGATGACTATGTTTTTGAAGTATTCAGTGAATATTAAGTGATTCATGTCAGTGTCAGGAAAGTTATTCAGTTTAGTTGTATTGAGACTTGTATATATTCAGTTGTTGGATCGATTAGTCATGAAACTGTACGAGTAAACTTGTCTCTATGTTGAGCATAGTACCATTAGCAAGTAATTTCTGTTGAAACATTATCTGTAAACACAGCCTGTAAAATATTATAGAATAAATAAACTAACTTATTATCATGACATGAACTGCACTTGACATTATTTTGACCAAATAATCCAAAAGCACCTGATCAACAACATAATACTTTACAACTCTGGTGTACAAAGCATAATTATTTTAGTGAAAATAAAATATGACTTTGACTAAACCTCAACTTCAAGATGAAGACAACCCAATCATGAAACAAAATAGAAATGTTACTAGAAATGATGAAGAAACAGTTAAAATAAGATATAAAAGAAAGAAACAGAAAATTAAAAGAAAAAGAAGAAAATGACAGAGAAGTAAAAGAAGAACAAGAAGAGAACAAATCAAATTTAAGAGTGGAGTTAAAAGAAAGAGATAAAATATTTAAAAACGAATTAAAAACAAAAATAAATCTGATTGAATACATGATTGATGAAGCTATTGAAGATGTACAAAGGGATTGCAACAATAAAATTGAAGAAGTACAGAAAGGATGTAATGAAAAAAATTGAAGTTAAAAAAAGAGGTCATCGAGGTATTAAAAAACATCATTGATAAAATAAGACATCTGGAAAACAAATTGGTACATGCAAATATTAGCCCGAAGAAACCTCTTTCTACCTCATCCCAAAAATTCCAACCTAAAATGTATACTACATGGAACTGCATTGCAATGACCCTTTAATAGGAGTGTATGCAGCAACAAAATGGCTGAGAGATATAAAAAGAATCAGCCTAGCAGCTTTTATGAGTTAGAGCTGATGCTACACTTTATGTCTAAAATGTGTTTAATTGATTGCTGTTATGGTAAGTAACCTAAATCATCACCTATGACTAATTATTAACTATTAGTATTAATAGTACTAATCAATAATTAAAGACATAGGTTACTATAGGCTACTAACCTAAACAACAATTGCTATCCATTTGCCACAATATTACCCTAAGCACCTTGTTCACTTGATAATTTTGTAACTTTAATTACCACAAATTGGGTAATGGAATTTTGTTAGGTTGCTTCATGTGAAGAGTTTAACTCTCTCACCATGAGGTTGGTCGAATTGGCTGACTTTATAACTATTTGGTACTCATTATAGTTTTCAAACTATGATATTTAATAGAGTACATGTATCTACACAAAATTTGGCAGACTTTCAGTAAGCAACAAGTCTTTTGCACACAAAAATCATATTGTTGCTGAAGATTTGTCTGCGAATATATTGCTTTTTTTTTTACTAGTACCAGTACAAAGTGATTTTCATGTTAAGATTAAAAACATCTTTCTTCATCTCATAAATCACAAATTTCATTTGTGTAATCCCTAAAAGCCTCCTAAATAAATTTGAAACTTTTTTTTTCAGTATAATTTTTTATCTTATTTGTTATTTTCTCTACCCTAATTCTATACAAGGTCGGTCAATTTGACTGACTTCGTAACCATAAAAAAAATAATTAAATACATCTTTTTTTTTCTAGGACTTCAAATTGCAACATGAAACTACATTTGTTTATCCTAAATATGTTTAAACTCATAAAATATACATCTAGTTATACTTACATTTTATTGTTTATTGCCCTTTGAACTATATCTAACTAATATTCGCATCATGTAAGTCATATTACGGTATTGAATTACATAATGTACAGACCATTCACAAGCTGCTTGCAAGCTTACCTCATGAAAACTTTCCAATTTTTGCATTTTAGTTACTTTTATAATAATAAATAAAAAATACACATGAAAAGAAATAAATAAAGTACTTACCTGGGTCTTCTTTTTTTTTTATATATATGCCTTCAACTATCAATGAAACTTAACCCTACTTTTTTATACTAATGGTACTTCTGTACTAAACAATTTTTTATTTAAATAAATAATGCATCAAAGAAAAGAGAATAATCACATGCAAAAAGCAGATGTCCCATAACTATCATAATTTTTCTGTCTTCCTAGCTATGCGACAAGAGCCATTAAAAATTCAGCTAAGCTTGTGAATGAATTTTCTGTGAGAATAAAGTTTGAACTGAAAGCATGATTAAGAATTCTCTGTACAGAAAAACAATGTAATATGATCCATCAACTGATAAATTAAAACCTTGGCTTTCTATTGGCTATATATATTATAGTATTTGCAATTTCTGAAAGAGAAGATGTGAAAAGTGGTAATGGGCAAGGTGGTCTGATTTTCTATTTGATGGTTCTGAAACCAAATAAGATTGAAAGCAATAAAAAATATGCTTTGCCTGAGTGATGACAACATTATAATAAGTAATTTATGTTAAATTTTGTACTTCTTGGAGGGGGTAGTAAATAATATTAGAGAAGAAGGGATGCCTAGAGAGAAAATGTCACAATTCTCATACTAGAGAAATTCAGGTTGTTGTTGTTTTTGAATATTGCTATATAAAAGTGAGAACTTAAACATTATATACTATTAAACCTTGGATTATTAGCTACATTTTAATGCCCAATTTATTTGTATACCATGTTAAGAAAGTAGTTTAATTAAATTTTGAAGGTAACTGACTAAAACCTCATGACTTGCACAGAAAAAGATGCCTATAGAGAAAAGTGTTAAGGCAAGTTTATATCAATGTTTAATTCTATGACTTGAAGTGATCAAAGTGTATGTCACAACCTTTTTAACAGAGTAACATTTGCAATTTAATTAAACTGCTCTATAATCAATGGAAGTTCATAAACTTGCCATCAAAACATAGGTTGGGATTCAAATGTATATATAGTCTAAGCTTTAATTTCATAATTGTAAAACTGCTCTATTATTAATGCATGTTCATAAATTTACCATCAAAACACAGGTTAGGATTCAAATGTATATAGAGTCTAAGCTTTAATTTCATAATTGTAAAACTGCTCTATTATCAATGCATGTTCATAAACTTGCCATCAAAACCTAGGTTAGGATTCAAATGTATTTTGTGTCCAAGCTTTAATTTCATAATTGTAAAGAGAAATATTTAAATAAATTCTCAATCCGCACCTCTCTAAATCACATGACACTGTAGTACTCCGACTTCTAATTTACAGATTTTTTTTTCCCTTATAAGGGCTTCAGATTGTTCAACCAATTAAAAATACATACTATCAGCCCAGCATTAGCACTGCGTATGTAGGGATGACTTGGGTTGTTCATCAAAATGGTATTTTAAATATCTCCTCAACAGGTCATCAGAACTTTACAATACTATACAGTGTTTTTATTTATAACAATATCTATGTAATGACTGGAACGCAAGTTCTGGGAAGTCTGTAAATATCATAGTAAAAAGTATGAATTTCTTGTTCTTTCTTCTACTTCTTTTTTATTACATGATAACTCAAAAACCAAAACAATGGTGTCAACCAATTTCAGAGGTGACATAGCTTTTATAAGTATTAATAATAATTAGCAGTAATTTAAAAAATTCATAATTATAGTGTAAACTATGTTATCATTACCCCTTGAAGTTAGCTTTCTTACAGAAGTTTGGTGTTGCTTTAAAAAGTTTAAGTACAGGGTGAAACAGGAATTACTAGCCAATAATAGATAAACAATAAATATTAAAATTGGAACCTCACTGTATTTAGAACTTGGTTATAAATACAACCTTCTTATGTTTATCAAAATACTGCATTAAAAAAACAAGCAAACAAGTAAAGAAAAAACTTTTCAAAAAAAAAGGAAGTAAACGTAGGGACAGGTAATATCAATCCTTCGAAAACAATGCAAATAAGATAGTAGGAATGGCATTTGTATCATCCCTATATAATAGCACAGGCAAGAATTAATATATATAACTATTCAATCACAACTGAGTTTAATTTATCCTATTTTTGACTTTTAACATTCTCCTAAAGGCTTCATAGAATCACTGATTAAATCACAGACTTAAATCTATGGCAAGTGATGGGATTGAGCCAAGTAGTTTGATGTTCATAGCTTGCTATCTATTGTTTCGCTTAAGACAGTACATTTCACTTTAATTAATAGTTTGCAAGTTATGAATGAACTACTAGCAAAAGACAATTCAATAATCTGTTAGTCCCTAATTTGATAATATTAGAAAACAATCAGAGTTACCAACTCGGAAAACATACTTACTGCTCCATTTAATTCTAAAGCTGACTTCAAAGATTCAAGATCATCAAATTCAACATAACAGTAACCTAAAAAAAAACGAATATTAGATAATGTTCTCCTCAAATGTGCAATAACATCAAAACAGTAAGAAATTAGAAACTGAATTTCATTCACTTTTATTGGGTGATAGCATCTGTAAAATAAATTTCTAGTAAATGCATCTCAATCTGATCTACTGGTCATTTTAGTTTTAAGGCATTTGCATTTAGTCTGTTTCTTTACTGTAGTAAAATTATTTGTGTGAGGATACTAGACATTATAGCAACTATCTATTCAACAAAAACGACTTGGTGGCAATGTGAACAATAATCATTAATAATGTACCAAAATATAATATTAAAGAAGTTAGAAAATGGTAACTCAGCAAAAATCTCAATCACTGATGAGTGTCATGACATAAAAGACTGTTTAGTGTAGATATTACTAATTAATTTATTTTGTGAGTTAATATTTATGATTGTTTAGTTGCTTTTTTATAATAAGAGAGTTAAAAGCAGACGATTGTTAGAAGTTTATACAAATTAATTGTTTTTGAGACTACCAAATGTCGCATGCAATACATTAATGTCGAGAATAGGGATTTCTAGAAGGCAGGCAGATGATTAAGATGATAAATATATAAATAGTGCGAGATGAGTGGACACAGCAAATAGACAATAGCAGAAGAGAGTAAAGACATGGCCAAGGAAAAGTTTGGCATGAAGTTAACTGCCATAGAAGTGATAGGCCTAGCAATTAACATAGGCCTAACATTTAATACATTAGAGGAAGACTAACAGCAGAAAAGGAGATAAGAAGAAGAATTTATTCCATCAAAGTGTGTTTCTAAAGTAATTGAATCAACTTGAGTGCAATTTGACAAAAGGAACAGAGGATATTTTGAAGAAAGAAGACCAAAGAATTATTGGAAGAGCAGTGTACGACTGTGGTAGCTCGTGCCACAATAGTAAGTGAATTATACACAGAATACTAGTGCAATAGAAACAGAGAAAAGTAATTTGGCTTATCAACTGAAATGCTAAAGGAATTGAATAGGCCTAAGTGGACTTTTGACAAGAAGAGAACTATGTATATAGTGTTTATGCTATGCCTATAATCTTTATAGTGTAAAGAATTTGTTGTACATACATTTAACTTGTTCCAATTACATACATTATTTTGAAGACAAGTGGAGTGCGTGCTGTTCATATATCATTGAATTTATCACCAACAAGTCACAGACACCTACTGTAGAAGAATCCTAAGCCCACAACACCAACAGTGTATATTTATACTATTAAGTACAAGTCAAAGCCTGTAATTGACAATTGGCAAATATATATTAGTTTCTGACAATAAGCTTATGCAGAATTTCTTCATATAATGAAATAATGTATCCCAAATATTTTTACCTTTGAATCTGTCTGTTTCTCTGTCTCTAACAAGTCTGATACTACGCACCTACAGAAAGAAAAATAAAGATATTCAACGATATGTATTCTCTTTCAAAACAATCTACATATTAATCTGAAGCTACTTTGATGTTTTTGACCAATAAAGCACGACATAATCAGACTAATGACAATCAAGGTAATACAAACACCCATGATCATGCATGCGTTTCTTATCTAAATGAAGAAAAATACACTTAGAAGCAATGTTTATTTCTTCCATTTTTTAAAAAAACATACTTCATTAAATCATAAACACAATACTAAAATTTCATATCAGTTTGTAAAGAGCATCTTCTACACCCAATACTCTTTTCGCATTGATTACCTGGCACAGATTGCAAGCTACAAATTATCACTTGAAAATAACAAAAAACTATCTTAGCTTAACAAAATATAATAGCTCAAAAGTTTTAAGATTTATCTATAAATATAGTGTTACTACATTTCAAGTGAAGTGAAGCATAACACAATTCTGTGAAAATATAAACACATTGAAGTTTGAAGTGAATTTCAATAGTGAAGGTAACTATTAAATAACAATTTTATTTTAAACCACTCAAAATTTATTTTAAATCAAAAGAGTGAAGGAAAGGACATAAAATTACAATAATTTTGCTTTAACTTCTCCTGACAAAGGTGCTGACATATATTGTTAAATAAACCTTCAAACCTGGCAGTAGCTACTTTTCTCTTTTTTATAAGCTGTATACATACAGAATATCAGAAAGCCTCTGTTAAGGCAACTTAGAAAAATTAATTAAAAAAATAAAGCTTCTTACGGAATTTGTGGAAAATTTTCAAAAAATTACATATCAGATTAGTTGGATGATGGAATGTAGAACATGACAATGATATATGGATAATTTATATGATTGCAAGGAAGTGGTAGAGAGATATTTCAGGTCTTTTGTTACACATTATTTACATGAATGATTTAAAAAGATCTTTAAGCAGTCACATTTCCAACATGTCAAATGAAACTAAAATAATGGAAAATACCAAGTTAGTTGAAAACATTTATCTAATTCAGATATCCTTAACAGTTCTAGTATAAAAGAAAGAATGTGGAACATAAACCTCACTACTACGAAACGTAAGATCATGCATTTAAAATATGGAAATTCTTCCCATACTTTACCTTCCTAGTCTTAATATTGCTTCCATTATGGTCAATTTAAATTGTTTATTTTAAATTTGCTATCAACAGTGATACAATGTCATGCAGGTGGAGTCTGAAAAAAAAATCATTGAATCTACAGAAAATACTTAGAATATTATGGAAGACATATTTCAATTACTAGAAAATCAAACACTTAATTTGTCAAATAAAAGTTATATTTGTTTAATATTGAAATTCAATGATGTTTAATAATTCTTTAGTGTCCTTTATATGAGTAACACTGTCTTTTTTAATCACTAACAGAAGTATGAAAATTCAGGGTGTGAAGTGCGGTTCTCAAATGTACCACAAGTCTTCAATAGTTGCTGTTTAGGAACCCAATTTGTTTGTTTGTTTTGTGATGATGACCTGATGATGAAAATGCCATAAACTGTATTAATAAATTAAATTACAAGTTAATTATAAAATGAAATTTATACTTTAGTCATAATTTTTGATGTACTATTTACTTTTTTTTCCCATAACTGTGAATATGTAAGTTCAATCAACTAGTGATTCTCCTATTGCTTTTTGACCTAACACCTCACTTGGCTATTATTTCTGCTTAATGAATAGGAAGGTGATTACAGCAATTCTAAATTTTGTCAAAAATGAGATCTAAATTTAAGACTACTCTTACAAAAAATGTTTGCTTCTGTTACATACTTTTATAGTTGCCAGAATGATTGAAGTAAATTCTACCATCAGTAATACTGCCTAATAGCTACTTAGTAGACTTCAACTTCACCTTCATGATACATTACTAGTATGTATGAAACAACTTTGGTATTTGTGCATAAGCTTCTATCTGCTCAAAAATTATCAGTTATTAAATGAAAGTTTGCATATTACACAGTATTTCAATATTTACTACAAATCTCAGAAAACACTATCTCTCTCTGTTAAAATGATGTTATAAAATGATAAAAGTTTATATCAAAATAGTGCAAAAGCAATAATAAACTATTTCTTTCATTAAATATACTTAATTTGCAAATGAAACAAATAGCATCAATTAAGTACCTGTCAACAATGTTGATAGTGACACTAAATCTGTACAGTCGGCCTATATTTCTGCTTATACCAGTGAATTTCTTTTTTACATTCCTGAGCACAAAAGTACATTGCCATGAAAATTAACACACTGACATTTTAGATATTTAACTCTCTCACTACGGGCTCTGTCCCAGGGACCGACCTCGTAACTATTTTGTGCTTGTTATAGTTTTCATGCTATGACTTTTAATACAGTTAGCATATATTCATGAAATTTTTCAGATTATCCGTAAACTTTACAAGGATTTCATACACAAAATATCAGATTTTATTATTAAGTTTTAAGATTTTTTTTCAAGTAATGTTCTTCTCATGCAATTTTGTTTTTTGCATATTGATTATCCAACATGCAAAGTAATTTTGATTTTAAGATTAAAAATACTTTTATGCATCAGAACATTTTCAAATTTCTCATGCAAAATCTTTATAACCTCCAGATAATTATCAAACAGTTTTTTTTAGAAAAAACTATATTTTATGTATTATTTTCTCTATTGTATCTCTGTACGGGTTCGGTCAACTTGACCGACCTCGTAACCACCATAAAAAAATTAGGAAGTAGATATAAATTAAGGTTTTTATCATTCTACAATGAATACAAATTATAACACAAAAACACAAATATTTAGTCTAAAAAGCTTAAATCTCATGACATTACACATCTATATATATATATATATATATTCATTTATTTATTATTTTTACTTTATTGACCTTTCAGTCATGTCCGACTAACATTACAGAAGTTGCAATGATATGGTACACGTGCACTCACGTTACCATATCCAAAAATATAAAACTGGTCTTTACAAAGTGACCTGTCTTGGCTAAGTCCTAGTGGACCAGTATTTTGCAAAATACAGACACATTTCAGTTATAATACATTATATATATGTATATACATTATTTTTATTATTATTTAAAAATGAATTCTTAAATTTCAGTTATTTTTAAAACATAGAACAGTAAATAAAGAAGTATAGAAAACAATTATCTCTTCTAGTTACGAACTTTTCATTCATTAGCTGCTTGCTGTAAGTTGCTAGGTCTTATCAAATTTCCCATGTGGAGGATGTAAAACAAAATACTTGTATGCATTATATGCATTTTGAAATAACACAAAAAATCAAATTACTATATCAATACCACAGAATTACACTATAATTTATCAAGCTTAGTATCTAAGCTGTATTTGGGTCTAAAAAATATGATTTTTTTAACTCATTAATGTCTTACCTTACTGATTGAAATCTAGCATAATAAGTGTTTCCAGTGCAACTATTTTGCAGAGGCTGAGAAAATCACTAGGGGGACATTCTGAGCTTTCGATTGGTTATACACACATCATTGGTGTACGTAAGCAAGTATATTCAAAAATGGAAGAGGTGGGCAGGGCCACCTTGGTTGATTCAATAAATATATTAATAGCTCAGAAAACATAAGAGATAGGAGGTTCTTATCTTATATTCTAGTTGTCAATATCAGTAATTTGAATATATAATTCGTAAGAAACTAGTCCTTGTATTTGGCATCACAAACAGCAAATATGAACCAATGCTGCATTCAACATACCATGTGACACGCAATAATCAATATTTAGGATTTTTTTTTTTATATTTACAATTAAGTTAAGAAATTAACTAATGTATAATACTAAACTTGAATTATAATCTACAATATGATACCTAACTTAATGATATATATTCATAAAAAAGTAGTTTAATAACATTTTGGATGTGAGCCTACAAACATGATGACATGGCCTTTGACCCGTGACCATAAGAAGACCCATGTTGGTAGAGTTAATAGAAACTGGGAATCCAGAATTGACAAAAACATTCCATTCCATATACATTTACTTACTTTTAACCCACTAAAGATTTCATCAATATCGCCCTGTACTATGCCTTGTGGGAGATTTCCAAGAAAAACTGTGTATGGTGGTTCTGTCGGAAGGGGTCGAGATGGTCCTCTGTAGGAAAAAAAAAAAGAATATTGCTACTTTTCAATATCTACAATACATTATGCAAATTCATGCATTTTTTTATTACAAAAAGATTTGATAAATACACTCCTTTTTAAACTACCTTAATGTGACAAACATATTTTTTATGAATTACTCCAAACAAAGAAACCACAGAGATTTAATAAAATTTAAACAGCTAATCCAATAATACAATCATAAACAATTTGTATTTGTTGTTTATGTACAAATAGACATGGAATTGTATTCATCTCTGTTCTCAACCTTTATTATGATTTCTTCAAACACAAGCACCATCGATTACCATCATATCCAAATTACAAGTTTCCAGTAACACAGCAAATCAAGTTAGAGAAAACAACCTTTACTCCATAGATAAGAATAATAATAAGCTTTTTATTTCAACAAATCTCATACCAAATAAAAGAGAATAGCAACAAAGATATCAAATTTGGTCTAATTTTAGAACTACATTCTTCATAATGATTTTGAAAAATATGGCAACTTCAGCACAATTAACAATTTTGAAAAATATTGCAGCAAATTCAAATAGTTAACAGCATTCAATTTTCTATACCACATTTGTGTAAACTACTTTATTTGTAACTTTTGCTTAAAATTTTAAAGATGATGAATTACAAAACTATGCAGATAATCCTGAAGTCAGGTTTAGAATCTAAGGTATTTATATGTATGGTAGAAAAATACAACAATTTCAAATTTCATGTACAAGAAATACTAGTTTACTTATATATCTGAATATGTTTTGAAAAATTTTAAATTAGTGTCTCAATTCCATTTGTCAGACCAACTAACAACCCTTAGCTCCACTGCAGCTAGTAGAAAAGTTATCATTTTCCTATAATGAAAATATTTCCGATAGATGCTCACCTCTACATGCAAAATTGCTATGTTCCTTGCACATTTGCCTTGAGCTAACTCCCACCTAATCTCACGTATTTTATTGGAACTGCGCTGATGCATGATGACATCATCTTTTCACAAACAGGAGAGCAACACAACCTCCACACACACATTAACTCCCCTCATGCACTTGCACTAGAGATAACTTCATTCTTAGACCAAGACAAAAAAAAAAAAAAAGGTGCACCAGAAGTGGGAAGCTCAGATAGGAATATGTGGAGGTGAGAATCTATCAGAAATACATTTTCAGTATAGGAAAATGTTAACTTTCAAGATGATACACTGCCTCCACACAGAGAATTGCTAGAATCCCAGATTGAAGTGATGGAGGAACTGGTACAAAACTTAAACCTAGATAAGATCCTTTCAGAAAGTGCCCAAGGAAAGAGCCAATAGAATGTGCCACTTGACAGCTGGAGATAATTGGGGCAAGCCCATGGGAGATCACATCTTGTGTTAAGCATGGTATACTATTTGCCCAAGTTGGAAGGGGTGGAAGAGCCCAAAGTGTTGCACAGATGGACAGAATACAAACATGATCAAGCACCTGCACACAAGTGACTAGTGAGCCAAAACATGTAGTGTGGCTAGGGTGCAATCAAACCATACAGTATGTGCTCATCTCGACTCTACTGAACAAGCTCTGGCTGCAAAAGGAAGGCACATTAGCTGTGTGAGAAGTGACCCATACCACTAATGGTTGGAGACGGCTTGAATGGGCAATGAAGAAAAACTTTAATATAAGTTTAACATAACAGCAAATGTACAACGTTTCGACAAGGTTCTGTCATCATCAGGTGCCAATACTACATACTACACTGACAGTGTCACCACTGCCCTACTTCTCACCATACTGAGCTAAATCCAACAATTCTCCAAGGTCATCACTCAAACAGCTAGGAAGTGGTAAGAGGCAAGGTTCTTCAGTGCTCCACTCAAAGAAGAGGGTGAAGAATTCACATTGGGGAGACCTGGAGATGTGCCTGGATTTCCATTAACAAAGGTCTTTTGCTGGAAACAGTGCAATGGGTGATCACAAAACCTATTTTTAAAAGCAAGCAAGTGCAAGCTAAAGAAGTGGAGAGTCACTTCCCTGGTGCCGACTTATTCCATGATAGCCCATTAAAATGGTATGGTCTGGACTGGCCAAGTGAGTAAAATTGTAAACCATGAGGATACCTTCAGTAGCCTTGCTGAACACCCCATCTCACAGTGGGTACTGGTAGAGCTAAGGAAGATGGGTTGAGTGCATTCCATAACCCCTGGCCTGATGGAGATGTTTGAAATTAAACATACCCTGGAAGGCAACACCAGCAACCCAGAAGGATCCAAGAAAAGGGAAAAAGGCCCTGAAAAGGAAAACATACTTACTCTTCTCAAAGATGGTATGTAGGTATAGTGAAGAACAGCAACTGGAGTGAATCAAAACCCTGCAGGATATGAAACAGCCAGATGAAAATAAAAGGAAATGGACACGTATGAAAACAGCAACATGACAGCCTGAATGGTCTCCCCCAAGGATCAATGGGAATGAGATTTAAGAAAGTGAGACAGTTTAGGAATTTAATGCAAAAAAACATGAAAGAACAACCACCCACCCAGTAGCTGAAGTATTAGGAAGAAAGGTCTAGTAAAGAAGGAAGTATGGTAAGACATCTGAATGACTACAACAACAGGCACAAAGGAGAAAAAAGATTAAACAATAAACATGAAGTCTATGGCTCAAATGGAGCACATGGAAGAGGGTGAAAAGTGCAGAAAATTCCCAGTCGGACATTGGAGTAGGACAAGAGGGTCAGTGAAGAAGGAAGTATTAGAATAAAGTGGAGAGGATGGAGAGCATGGACCCAAAAATCAAGTGAAAAAGAGAAAGAAAAGAGCATAATTGTGAAATCATGTTAAAGAAGAGAAAAACAGAGTGAGGATATTTATCCACACAGAAAGTCAAGCCTAGAGTAAACTATGATGTTGAAATTGTGAAGAAGGAGGCCCAGTATGCATGAAGAAACCTACAGCAGATGGAACAATGGCTATTGCATCCACCACAGAAAATGAGGTGCCAAAGCCACAAAGATTCAGGTCTTATGTTACAAATATCATTGCTATCATAGGACAAAGCAGACCATCACTTGAGAAGTTATAATGGGTAAGTATAAAAAATAACAATAAAAGAAACCAGTGAAACTAGAAAGAAGTTTTTCATAAGCTACTGCAAAATCTCACATAATTGAATAAAAAAGTCTAAAACATGTCCATTCTAGAGAGTACTGAAGAAAAGAATGAAGTTATCTTGTGTTCAAGAGCTTAGGGAGAGTTACTGCACATGGAAGTTAAATGACCCTCCTGTTGGTGGAGGGCTATTGTTGCATGATGAAGTCATCATGCACCAGCACAGTTCACGTTGAACACGTGAATTTAGATGGGAGTTAGCTCAAGACTAGTGGCACGCATATCTCCGAGGCAGACATGCAAAAAATATAGCAATTCTGCGTGAAGAGGTAAAGTATCATCTCAGAATTACTATTTTCAGCTGTACTGGGGGAAACTTAATCACGAAAGTTTAAATGTGTAATAATTACAGAATTGATTGCTTCCTATACACTATATGGGTGTGAATTTTTGAAAAAATTCTTGTCCAAGTGACAAGTGCCAGAAATATTTACAATTTCTCCTAAAATGAATACTTGCCTCCCCCCTCCCCCCATCCCACACCAAAGTAGAATATAACTTCAATGGTTTTTCTGTTATGTAACAGTGAGTTTAATCACTACAATACCACCACTGGTAACTCAATTTTGTTTGGAATCACGTATAGCCTACCTTGCATGTAACCTCTTCACATACAGTTATTCTTGTAGGTTTTTTTAAGCATTTCATCATGAGAATTTTATAGCGCAGCATATAGAAAACCTTACACAAAAAACATTAAAAAAAATCATAGTTTACATTAATGCTAACACAAACTAAAATACCTTATATATAAGAATGTATGGATAAACAGACAGATAATGGCTTAAGTATTTTGTTATTTTTATTCTTCCTAAAGCAGGCAGTCTAACTTTACCGAGATCCTATTCTAGACAAAAACCAATGTGATAATATTCTTACATTAATTTCAATATGTTTCTTGATGTGATGTGTGTGTGCGTATGACTGAGAATTTGTAAATTAACCTTTTGCCTTTTTATTTGTTCCTTAAAATCTTGGCCCACTTATACAATTTTTTGTGAATAATGAGCAACTCGTTATATGTAGTGCAGACTCTTATTAAATATATGATTATAAGATAAACTGAAATAATCATTTGTATATACCCAAATTCATTACAAACAGCTTTTCAAATGAATCTGACATGGTAAGGCAATGGATTGAATAATAGGTATACTGGTATATATATAATTTTGGCTTGAGGTTTAGAGGTGTACATTTATAAACGTGTCCATGTGCTAGACTTCCATAGTTCAAAACTTTCAGGAACTTTTGGCTTTTTAGAAATATAATTAGTTTTTTTTTCTAGTAATAGACAAATGATGTGAAAAACAAAAACCTTTATCATTGGGAAAAGTGTAATGGTAAAACTTGTTGTCACAGGTATCAGGATATATGAATTCCACACCAAAGCAAAAAAACAAGTCCTGTTTTATGCAAGTTTATAAATGCAGAATGATTTTAAATGATGCTTAGCCTTCCTCAGAAGGGAAGTAACTAAGCTTGGACTTTATTCTGAGTAATACCTTTGTAAACTGGAAGTCCAGAGTTAAAATTGAGTTCTAAGAATTCCCTCTTAGTGGTTAAGTATAACACACAATAGTATTGTGCATAAATTAAAAGTTGACTAGAAAACAAAGAGCCAGAATAAGTGCTAGATTAAATGAAAGCAGAATAAATGAAATTCAGATGCCAACATTGGAATGTAAATGACCTTGAAAAGTTTATACCTAAGAAGTCATTACATGAAAAATAAAACTGATAAACAGCAGGCTTCAGGAATAATATATTGTATACATTTATCTATATATCAACCAACAGCAGCAAAGATCATCAAGAAAGCAAAGATGCCAAGACACAAATAAATTGTTGGGATAGCAGACATTAACTTTAGCAAATGCCCCCCAGTGGTACAGCGGTATGCCTGCAGACTTATACCGCTATACACCGGGTTTTGATACCAATGGTGGGCAGAGCACAGATAGCCCCTTTGTGTAGCTTTGTGCTTAATAGCAAACAACAATACTACTTTAGCAAAAAAAAGCAAAAAAATATGTCCAGTGTAATGAACAATAATTTGAACAATCATTACACAAGTTTATAATTCTAATAGAGAAATAAATTCTGTTGAAGAACAAACTTGCATCTAGGCTTCCAAAGGTTGAGCTTAATGTCCAAGTGTGTATATCCAATCTTTCCATTCTACCATCCAGACAACTCATACAAAAACTGTCCAATACCGTGACAATTCTAAATGTCAAAATTATGTTCCACCAATAGTTTAATTATTCTGCAATCCAGGGGGAAGAAATTCAAAACTACAAGCTTCTCCTCATAGCTAAAATGGCTTAAACTAGGTATCAGTGTATACTAGCGTGTTTTTGGTGTTTCTAACATCTTGATATCCTACCTATTGTAATGGGAACAAAACTGAATATAGTGCTCCAAATGAGACCTCACCAAGTCTTGTACAAGGCTATTATAACCTTCTTGTTCTTTAATTCAAATTTCTTGTGAACAGAACTGATGACTGCTCTTTTCCACATCATTAAACATTAAATAGAACACTTAAGAGTTTTTATCAACAATCTCACTAATTACTTTTTCTCCCCACAACAATAATGATTCACTCTGACAAGAAGTACATTCTAACTAAATTCCAAAACTCAGGTACATGACATACTCCTTTACTATTTACAGTTACATTAATTAAATACCAACATTGCAAATGTTTTCCTAAATGTCTTCTAACAACACAATCAACCATCTGCCTCATAATTCTTTTAACCTGGGCTCAGTCCCTTGGACCGACTTCGTAACCATTTTGTGCTTGTTATAGTTTTCATGCTATAACTTTTCAATTAGTAAGCGAATGTTAACAAAATTTGGCACATTTACTGATAATTGTAATGTGCTTTCATATGTAAAATATCTAATTTTTTTTATTAACTCTTAAGGTTTGTAAAGCAATGTTTCTCTCTCATGCCTTTTTCTTTTCACATCTTGCCTATCATTTTTGTTACATTAATAAGTTTAATCACTGTTCATCCCAACTGTACTGAGGATGACCTTGATCAATTGGCAAGTTCAACAAACATCTCATAACTTGTCTATAATTGTTGAGAGCATAAGGATTATCATAATTTGGATCACTTATTTTATATAAAAAGGAACCAATTCAATAAAGTGACTAAAGAAAAGAACTTCTCATAGCAGTAGAAAAGTCACTCAAAGGAGATAAGTCAGTAAAACAGTATTCTGTTTCTAGTAATGTTACTCTAGAAATTGAATCTTCTGAAAATTTGTCTAGAGGTTCAGTGCTCAAGTTGAGTTGAATCATTGTTTTGACACCTTAAAATACATTTTAAACATGTTCATAGAGAACTATGCATACTTCATAATTTCTAACTTCCACATTCATGATGTCAGAAAAAATACGTAGATTTAAGAAGTCTTGATACAAGATGATAAAAACCCTATAAACCGAGTACTTTTGAAAGGTCTAACTTCCACAGTCACCTTTTTTCCTTTTACCATTCCAACTAAAGCTTTTTTACTGATTTCCAAGTCTTTTAATCACTTAGTCTGAGTTTTCAACAACAGTCAATTTGGTTACTCTTTCCACAAATTTTGTTGTTTACAAGTGATGCATCATCAGCTGCTTAATATTAAATTGCAAAAATCAGATACTACTATGAATCTGGATACCACTTATGTGCTTTGTTATTGTCTAGTCTTAATGTATTTTATATCTGCAGACAATTACAGTTTTTACAAGTCAGTAGAACTTCATATTTAAATTTTGTAGGGAACATTTCTTTCATATCTTTATACTTAGCTTTTTTTTTTTATGTGCAAATTTATACAAGGAAAGGACAAAAAAACCTGAAGGATTATGGAAAAATCTTGTTCAAATTTTAAGGTGTTTTTAAAGACATATTAATTACAAGTCAAAAGAGGTAATTATATATCTATACAAATCACTAGCTAGTCAACACTTAGAATACTGTGTACAATTTTGGTCTCTACCTGTGAAAAAATATTGAAAACACAAGTTAAAGATTTGGATACAGACAGGTTAGGTTCCATTTAAGACAGTACTTTTCTAACAGAATAATTGGCTTATGGAATGATTTACCATTGGGAGCAGTGAAGGCCAGAAGTATGCAAGGATTTCAAAGGGGAATCCCTGATTGGGTTAAATTTTAACTTTTCTCAAGGGTGGATGAGCAAGGACAGCTTTGTAGAACACATGGTCCTTTGTTGACAGTTATAGTTTGTGGAATGGTTTCTTTAATGATACGATTTGTACTGTTAAACTTTTTAAAAACTTTATTGATTAAGTACATAGATGCTAGGGGAGAATGAATTCAGATTTGTGTTACTTTCATTGGTTTTGATTTTGTGATTAAGTAATGACTTTGAAAAGCTAGATGACATTCTAGATTTTGCTTTTTTGTTACATTCTTGTATTAATGTCCCCACCATGGCTGCATGACAATTTCCTGACAAACAGCATTGCTCGTCTTTAATGAATTTGAAAATTATTTGAAAACATCCTTTACTAATATGAAGACAATAATATACTTTGTTTTGAATAATGTAACTAATGCCACAACTTATTTCATTAGTCAATCACTTGTGAAATAAATAACTTAATCAAAAGTAGACACTATTACAAATTAGAAAAAAATAGTTACACTCACTCCTGAAACCAGAGCTGCATTCTTAAATTATCTCTATTAATACGTGTAAATTCCAATATCTTTCCAATCATAGAACTCTGTCTAAGAGACCTGTAATTTTTTTGTAGCATGATCCTTTCTTTAAAATATAAAACAAAACACTGCAATTTCTCAATGGTATGCAATCTTTTTCACATTCGGACTATTTTAAAAAGTTAAGAAACTTAAAAGCCATCATTACTTCTATCCCTAATTCTTTGCAAAATGTTATGATCACTTTCATCAGAATTAAGAATTTATTCTCTTGAACTCATCAGCTTTCAGTTCTTTATCAACTAGATTCTAATCTTACCAAATATCCCTCAGATGTTAACATAACCATCATTACCCAAACCTTTGACTTTGAGGGACGTTATTCTATTTTACATAATAGCCAATAACAGCATATCATCACTAATGAATATCAAAATCACTATACCAGAAATATAATAAAACATAATCTGACAATATCCTTTATACTGTTATAGTTATACATTCTAATTCTTCAACTCTTTACTTTTAAATTTCAGTTTACTGAATAAGCATAATTTCATGAACTGTACATACTTAAGACTCGTTTCTGTCATATTTGGCCATTTACTTAATGGAAAATTTTTCTCGATTGACCACTAATATGGTAATAACAAACATAATATAGAAGTTACTTCAATTAGTTACTTCCACCAATAACCCAAACACATACACTTCACATATTAAGCCTAATGGTAATGTAAAGCGTGTTCAGATAGGCTTAACAATCTATATTACTATATTATTACTACTTACTACTTCAGTACTTAGCCTAGACGAGCTCAATAAATCTTTTCCTGTGCATTAACAAGGAATTATCCAGATAAATTAGTTCTTGAAACAGTTCAGTGATTGAAATAAAACTGAACTGTGCGAATAACAAAAATTATCAATTTATAACACAAAAAACGTAAAGACCAAATGAATAACAACCTCGATCCATAGTTGTTATAGTAGCCGCTCGCCATGATATATAGGCCTAAAGCACAACTTGTTATCTTGGAAAACTTAGTCGATGTTCAACGAAAAATGAACAAATTTGAAAAGTAAAAAAAAAAAAAAAAATCTTATTTTTTTTAGATTAAATCGCTACTTTAAAAGTGTTTATCTAATGAATCAATTTGAAACACTCAAGTTTACTCCTATACGTTATTATAACTTTTTATTGTTAACTTATCACTTCATCGCTCCCATTTGTTTTCTACGTTTATATTGGTAAGTACTAAGTAACCACATGGGTAGACTCGTAGATTTGGCACAGAAGAATGATAGACGAAAAGAAGTGTAAGTACGCAAATTTTAAACAGAATTTGTGAAACTGTAAAAAATAAACAAATTATCAATATTTTTATTGGGATCCAAATCCCGTTACAGTCAAAGAAAATAAAAACGATTTTATTTATTTTTTACTATTGACTGTTACTGTTGGTTGATCAAGCTTAACCTGGGGCTGTAGCACCTCTGCTACTACTAGTACTAGTTGTTTGCTATACAGTATATGTACTGTAAACAGTATTCGTTATAGCTTATACCATTCAGATTTGCCATGTTGACATTTAACTTGCGTACTGTTTATTAAGTTAGTTACCACACACATAATAAAATGTGTTAATATTTGATACTGTTGTAGTATTTATAACTAAAAAGTAAAAATAATGCAACCATGTTCTAGGACTACTGGTACTGGTAGTATATTACTATTAGTACTAGCCTGAAGTGTAGCAATACTACTACTACTACTGTGGCGTAGCCTCAGTCCTGTTTAGGCTAAATAGTAGCGTTATTGTACATTGCAGTATTATAACTAACCAGTGTTTATTCTGTCAGTTTATATTACTATTAGTGATTACTTTATGGCCTTGGCGATTATTTCAAAAAATCATTAATAAAAAGTAGCTATTTATGTTTTGAAAAAACATTCACAGAATCTAGCTCAAAACTTTGAATCTAGTATTTCATTTACTAAGCTCTATCATCACCAGTCTTATAATCAATAAAATCTGCCACTGAACATGTGACAAATGTGTCATTAAACCACTGCAAATTCCACCCCCTGTGCTTTAAAGTTTTATTTCTCTTAATTCTCTAAATTAATGTTGATTATTGGATTAATTGTAATTACCGTTCATGGGCTGATGTGTAAACATACTACTGATTATTCATCAAGTCAATCAAATAAGTCATAACATCAAGCTAATTAGTATAACTGATAAATAAGAGTGTATATTTTATAAAAAAGTTGTTCCATGGTCCAGAAGTGTGAACTGTTAGTTTCTCCATAAATATTCAAGGAAGTGATGAGTTTAAGTGTCATAATCATCAAAAACAGATGACCACGCCTTGTATCAGGCTACAGATACTATCTTTATGTTATTAAAAACTTGATTAGCATACTAATCAATTGAAGTTAGGTTCCTGAGCCTAAGGAGTTAAATAAAGATATAAATAAAATGTTTGAACAACAATATAGTTTTTATTTTGAACTCAAGTTACAACTGGCTTTTCATTTACTCCAGAGGAGAAGAAAACATATGTATACGATAACTTAATCAAATGTATATCAGTTAGTATTTAAAAGTATTTAGTCTGACTAAAGGAATTGGCAAGTTTCTTTCTTCTAGAAAAAAAAACCAAAAAACAGTGGATTTAGAAATTGAAATTATCATACCTTGATATACTTTTTATAAAGAAAATCATTAACTATTTCAATATATACTTTCTTTAGCTCTTAAGTATTTGTTTGCATCATATTTGAATCAAGCTTTAGGTTTACTAATAAATTTTCTGCCCCAAATTTGTGGACATAAAAATGGCCATGGTAAGCACTGCTACTAGTGCTAGCCATGTGACAAAAGCATTGCAAGATAGCAAATTCTGCTTTTGTTGTAGTTTTTGTTTATCATTCATTTATTATTCCTTCTATCATGTAGTTCAATTATGAATTTTTAATCATGTTAAAATGCTAACTCACATTCTAGCTAGAGCATGTTCAATTTGAGTATGTATTATGAAACTGACACAGGCTTCCCATAGTGTTGATGTTCAGATATAAATGTGGTGAAAGATTACGTAAGTTAGCTAGTCACATGAGATGTAACCACATGGTCTAACCACTAAATAAAAACCCTGCCATGATCTTAAATGAGTTAGTTCACGAGATATAGTTAGAACAGATTATTGCTGTTTGTTGCTCTTTATTGTTATTGAAGTAGTTTCATATTGTGTTTACTCGGAATTCCTTTATTTATTGAAATTAACAACATTGATTTTGTTACGTCTCTGGTTGTTTGTTAATTTCTGGTATAAATTCTTTCAGAAGAACTTCAGCGATACAAGTCCTTTATTAATTAAAACTAGTTTATTCTTTCTCGATACAACTTTGTAATACACAGAATTTCCACAGTCACCTTAAACTTAACAACCTTTATAACACACGCTATAAATCACAGCGATTCACACACTTTACCTACAGTTCCTACTGTTTGCTTGACTCAATTATCTATCTATCTCTTCTCTTTTCTTGCGCTGGTTTTTCTCGCCAGGCTTATATACTAAAAAAGAGGATGCCTGGCAAACACTCGGACATTCGCAGAGTTCCTCGATAATTCATGATCCTTATAGAAACTCCGGCGAGCATGCTCCCAGCATCACATGACTTCCGCTGTCATAACACTGCCCCTTCCTAAGTATTGTTCATCCCGAACAATAGCCACTTAAATTAAACCAATAGATAATTAACAATAACTTCATTAAATGTATAGGATTTACAAACACAAAATTAAAATTCAACAAAGTCTCTTAATTTTACGGGATGTATCTTCTTCCGTACTGGTCTCAGTCTCGTTGGCTTCTGCTTCACGTGGTGTTCATATGCTCCATCAGGAAATATCCCATTATTGATAGCAGTCACATCAGTGGTAGTAACTTCATTAACAGCTTCACTGTTTTCCTTCTCAAAACCGGGTAGTTTCTTCTTCAACAGTGACTTTTCAGGTGACACGTCTTCAGCAGCGTCATTTGATCCATTGTTCACTTTGTTCCAACTGAAATGACCTGGACCTTGATAATGCCAAAGCCTGTTGGCATGCACCACCTTTGGCTTACCTCACCGACCACATTTTATTCAAAAAGTCACGTCTGAGAGACAATCCACTATGTCATATGGGCTTTCCCATGGAGAAGACAACTTAGGAAGACTTCCCTTTGGTATTCTTGGGATTATACAACCACACCTTGTCTCCTGGTACAAAGCTGACTTCAGTAGATCTATTATCATAACATAGCTTCAT